TGATCAAACTAGAGTCCTTTAGGCTTGTTTGAAACCTACGGGTAAGCGTGTTGGCGCAGAGTTGGAACTAAACTGTGCAGGGCTTCAGCCCTCCAGGAATTGAGGTCGACACCCCTGGTTTAAAGGGTTATATTTTACCATCAAAATGTAGCATGTTATATAATTAACTTATAGATTGTAAAAATTAAAGTTGAGTGACATTAAAGTGCCCGCTCACTTTTGACAAGGCTCAACCAAAATATATTTCTGCTATTGTAATTAAATTTAGCCAGAGGCGCGCAACATGACCTCTATATAAAAACAAAACAAAAAAAAAACAAAAAAAAAAGTGCTGTAAAAAGTTTCAGCTATTGAGTTTAATTCAACAAAGGGAGCGGTTTACATTGCATTAAAGGCAACTACTGATGGGTTGTATAATGTTTCAAAGAGCTGTTGCAGCATGAGTGGAAAAAAACGTATTAGTGCTGCCTGGCCCAGTTTGGCACAAAATGGAGCAGTTCCATTTAGAGAATGATTCAGCATGACTGAAAAAGTAGCTAAAGTTTATGAAAAATTAATCTGGATGTAGAGAATCTCATAGCACAGAAACAGCACTCCTACAGGCGTATTTATACTTCTGCATCAAACACACGAGTATGCTTCAGCACAACCTGTGCATGGTCACGTAGCCCATGCTGTGGCAGTCAGACACTGATGCACACCTCACACAAGAGCAGCTAAAGTTTATGAAAAATTAATCTGGATGTAGAGATTCTCTTAATGGTGAGTTTAATAATTTGATTGACATCCTGAGCATTTAAGACCTTTAATTTGCCTGACTGACGCAAGTTTATTCCACGCAGCACTGTATTTGGTAGCACATATCTCGCTCTGATCCAGGAGAGAATTAAACCAATGACTACATCCACTGAGACTTTCCTACTGCGCATCGAATAAAGCAAATAAGAAATGCTTATCATCGAAGCCTATGGTTGAAAAGATCCAATAGATGATCTGACATTAAAATGATCTGAATAATCACCAAACCCCTTTTGGTTGGGTTAGAGCAGTTTCAATTAATAAGTATGGACGTGATTCAAATACAAGCCAAGCTTCTGTTTAGGGGTGGGGGTTGGTTAGGGCTGTTTCATCCACATTAAATTTAGTTACTGCCGATGTTATGCCATATATTTCTACTTGACAGTTCAGAATGAGGAACCTAAGGATGTTAGACCTTTTTAGGCCATGCACTCCAGCCTTTCTGGGATTCAGGTTCACACAGCAGTCTTGAGTCCATCCCCACAGTCCATATGGGATAGGACAGAGACGAGCAAAGAGTTAAGGTTAATTTTTAGGTTAAGATTAAATTGCCATTTTATAATCCCCTTTCTATAGATTCAAGCTTCATCTAAGCTCATTTAAAATGAAAGAAACCCTTGTGGTTGCATGAAGGGGTCAGGGCAATATTCCATTCCAGAAAAAGTAGATGCACTATTTAAAATGCTGTGTAATAAAGATGATCCAAGAATAGTGGTTTAATTCATCCCCACTTTTACAATTAGTTCCTAAAATGTATAATAGCATTTACCAAGCCTCTTTAAAAAAAATTAACTGCTTAATGCTAAATTAGAAATAGCAGGTTAGAAATAGTCTAATTTTCTATCAAAGATACTATTTATAAAAATAAAAAAATAAAAAAATAAAAAAAGCATCTGCTCAACTTTAACAAAGAAATAACCGCTTTCCCACTATCGTGCCAAACTGTTAAGAACCCTTCAGTACAGTTAATTGTTTCTCCACTGAGCCTGGAACCATGTAGCACAATTACAAACCATTCTTAGCCTGGAATTCTAAGAATGGTTAGACAACAGTGTTGAACTGTGCCAATAGATTGAGTGATGTGAGGGCTTTTACCAAGCTACCACAGCTGGCTCAGAAGCATGCTAGACAGACATCCACAAGTAAACACTTCATTAATACAAGAAAAATTACACAGGTCTAACAATGGTTTTAAAAAGGTTTAAACCATAGAGCAGTCTCTGGAAGAGAAGTGAATCTCACACGGTTTCGTTTTACACACGGTTTCGTTTTACACACGGTTTCGTTTTACACACGGTTTCGTTTTACACAACCAGTCATCTAAAATAATGAAAGCCTATTTTATTAATGGCTAGAGTTAAATAATTTGATTGACATTCTAAGCAATTGAGACCTTTAATTCACCTGACTGATGCAAGTTTATTGCATGCAGCACTGTATTTGGTAGCACAAATCTCGCTCTGAACCAGGAGAGAACTAAACAAATGACTACATGTACTGAGATTTTTTCCTGCTGCGCATCGAATAAAGCAAATAAGAAATGCTTATCATCGAAGCCTATGGTAGAAAGTCAATTTTCAATCATTTTTTGACTGCTCTAAAGCTTTACAGAGCAGCACTGCTGTCCAAGGTACCGTTGCATGATTTCTTAGTCTATATATGCTCTAAACTTGTCACATGAATGAATTTAATAATTGTCGGTAGTGCTCTCAAAATAATCACTATGTTTTGACATGTTAATAAATGAGCAATTTTCAGCATTTCAGCTGTAGGCCATTATATGATTCAGTTATACACAAGTTTGACATTTATGGGGCTGTGTAACATTTGTTGTTTTGTTCCCTGATCTTTAATATATACTGGGTAGCTATGCAAAAATTTTCTAAAAATGTCAAGCTGATAAATAGTGCTTTATATCCTTTCACATTAGTTTTTCACTTGCTGCGTTCATTATTTAATGTTTGAATACTTAAGTCATTGTTTAACACGTGTCAAACTCAGTTCCAAAAGGGCCGCAGCTCTGAATAAGTGTTTAATTAGGGTTGGAACTAAACTGATCAAACTAATTGAGTCCTTCAGAGTTGTTTGAAACCTACAGGTAAGTGTGATGGAGCAGGGTTGGAACTAAACTGTGCAGGGCTTCTGCCCTCCAGCAATTGAGTTTGACACCCCTGGTTTAAAAGGTTATATTTTACCATCAAAAGGTAGCATGTTATATAATCAACTTATAGATTGTAAAAATTAAAGTACAGTGCCATTAAAGTGCCCGCTCACTTTTGACAAGGCCCATCCAAAATATATTTCTGCTATTGTAATACAAATGCACTGTTGCATTATCATAGTTTAATTTTG